TGTGTAATGAACGCAGTATACTTTCTAGAATTCTGATCAACTGGGACATGGAAGAAACCATTCTTAAGGTCGAGCGTTGTGAAAACGTTTCCCTTTTGCAATCTATCAAGTACGTCCTCCATAAGCGGCATTGGAAAATGATCTCTGACTATCTTTTTATTTAACCTTCGGTAGTCGCAACAAAAGCGCTTAATACCATCTTTTTTTGAAACTAGCACAATAGGGGTGGCGTATTCCGAAGTACTTGGTATGATGATACCTTCTTCTAACCAGCTTCCAATTTGCTTATCTACATACTGCTGATCCTCATATGAAATACGCCGTGCTCTCTCATAAACTGGGATATCGTCAGTAAGAACGATTTTCATAGAAACTTTTGTTTCTTTTTGTACGTCTGGGTGCAGGTGCGATACTTTCAAATCCAATCCTCCCCTCTGGTATTCCCCCTCTACCATCAAACATAGACTTTCGAATTCCTTTTGAATTTCTTCCGTCGACTCGGTACAAGATTTTACATCTTCCGATATATTTAAAAAGGTTGGCCCCTTGTTTGAAAGATGAATATCAACAAAATCAAGAATATCATTTCCTATAACAACGGAATAATTAACATCGTCAGCTCTAGTGATATGAAAAGTATTTGTCAACTTAAAGTTATCTGCAGCAATTTCTGCTAACACACTGCCTAGAGTAGAAATGGATCTGCCACCAACTCCATGTAACATTTTAGTTTCAGGCCTTAACTCTGAAATACCGACTTTGAGTAAGATGTCCTCACGCAATAGACATACGTCGCTACCGTTATCAATGAGTGCTACCATTGGTACCCCATTGATTTGAACAACTTTACACTTTTTATGATTCATGTAGTGCTCTACATCTTCTTCAATACTATTTGTATTTTGAAATCTAGACTTTGTTGCTACATCTTTTTTTTGACTCTAACTACACATTCGAATGAGCGGTGACCTGTGCCACCACATTTAAAGCATTTGATATCTTTACTAAAACATTCTTTTGCTTAATGGCTACTATCGCCGCATTTATAACATTTGCGGATGTCTGTCTTGACCCTCTTATACTCCTCAGGACCTTTTTTTACCTTTTCCGAATCAACGCTACTACGGAGAGGTCCTCGTATTTTTTCGTAAACTGGGATTAACGTCTTTAGGTGGGCAATTGATGTTGCCTGATACAGGATGCTTTTATTTTGGCGACTGTCGTTAATACCGTTTATAAAGTATGTCACTAACTTTGCTCGTCTATACTTATAGTGTAACTAATTTCTTGTAAGCTATAGAGGTATTCACGTAACGTTTCGTTATTTCTCAACCGGCTGCTTCTTAGAAGTTGATGCACTTCTGCATCTGAAATGGTTTTTTTAAATTCACTAACGAGTGCCACCTTCAAAGATGACCAATCTTTAATGTTCGCTTGACAGCGGATAAACAACCTTGCAGCACCTTTCAGTAACTGTTTACCATATATGTACGTATTTTTGGATGTTATTCCAATTGAACGTAAAAGAGTTCTCTTCGAATTGTTGTACCGACTTCCTAACATCTTCACTATCGCTACCAGAGAAGTTAGTGAAACTTTCTTCGACATCTTTTAAAGTGAAATAACACTTTCCTTGCTCAACTACATTGCAAGGGTCACTGTACTCTGAACTTGTCTCTTCGACTTCCCCTTCATCTTCAACCAATTGTAGATGAGTTAACAATCTGTTTTGGAGTTCAAGTTTTCTGCCTGTAGTAACAAGACCCGTCTCCCTGAGCCTGTCGCGCAATTCACCGACCCTGAGCAGCATCACAGACCCGACGTCCATTATTCTGGCTTTGACAAATTAATGTTAACAAAATATATTACGAAATATCTTAATATGGTTACCAATAATTAGTAATTAATAAATAACAATTGACAATAATTAATTAATAGTCCTTAATTCAATATTACCGAGTACTATTACTCCTTTGATTTTAAATGTATAAATGTTTTCAAGTTTTTTTTCTGCACAAGTTATATCAAACAACACGATCGTTTAGTCTATTACTCTACAAAAATTAATTAAATATTCAAAATAATTATGAGAAAATAAAATGGGATAAAGCTCCTTTTGCTTTTAGTTCTTCTGGTCCAGTGATCAATGCTTCAGTTTAGTTTCTCCTACCACTTATTGAGTTGAGTTGTGATTATATTTTTTTTGTTTTGACTTACGGTTTCACTCCCAACTGTTTCTGCAGCTACCCTCGGTAGTCACTGCTTTCTCACCTACTTTGACTTGAGTTCAGGGCCCTGTTGCACCAACACTTTTCACTTTTCACTTTGCAAAACTTATGAGTGACTTTTTTTTGCAAAGTAAAAGTGAAAAGCGTTGCACCAAAGACTTAACATAATTTACTTTGCACTTTGCAAATAAAAATTTCACTGCAAACTCTTTGCATAAAATGCAAAGCAAAGCGTTGCACCAAAAAATTAGATCACTTTCATTTTGCATTGGTTTTTGAAAGCATTTCGTTTCTGTATGTATACTTGTTTTTTGTTTGTTTGATATTTTGATGCTATGAGTACATGATTTATGCATAGTATGTACTTATGAGTTTAATTTTTGTTTAAAATAAAGGTTTTTAAAATAATATTTTATTTTAATAATTTATATTATTAAAATTTGTAATATTTGTATAATTTTAGTACAATTATATGTTATACATAAAACAAAACACAAAATTTTTGTATATGATTTCTTTTATTGACATTGAATCGTAGATAAAGAAGTTGTGTATATCCATACAGACAATTTTTATGCTTTTAATTTATTTTGCTGTTTGAAAAGTTATAGAAAAAGAATTTATATGTAAGGAGTATGAGTATGAGTTGTTTTAACAACAATTATATTGAAAAACAAAGTTAACAAATATAATAAGTTGCTTTTATATAAAAATTTAGTTGAAAATCTGTCATTATTATTTAATTTTAAAATATTATAAGTTACTAAAGTATTGTTTACTTGTCGCTGTGTATTATCCTAATACAAAAGAAACCTACGCATAAAGGGCCTAAATTATTGATTTTATTTAGAACATTTTTCTTAATTTATACAAAATTACCTTAAAACTAACTTAACTAATTTTACTATCAACGTTAAAATAATATATCTGTTATCACTAATTTTAATTTTATTTTTAATTACATTTCAAAGAAGGTTCAAAAAACGACACAAGTCCAGGCACTTGTGATTTTTTCTTCTATTGTCTTTAGAAATATATTTTTATTATCATAATTAGATACGGATAATTAGATATTTAAAAATGTTACAATGTTAGCTATTATAGGATATTTTTTACCCATGTTTTTTCTTGGTTCATAATTCGGAGAATTTGAACGATAACAGACTTATAATAATAATAAACTGCTCATTATAATAAATAAGTGTTCATGCTTAAACAATAATTCACATAAAATATCTATTTTAAATGTATTATAAGTTTTTTTTAGAAACTGAACTCTTTAATTCACAATTTAAAAGTATTGTCCGGTAATATATCCCTTTAATTATTGCAACTAAATTTATTTCAAAAACAGCAATAATATTTGCTTCAACTAATTTTCAATTTCTATTTTTTTAAAACTATTTTTATTTATTTATTAATGATTTCTTTCATTTTACGCATTGTGTTGAATATTTGTTTATATTATATTATATTATTACATATGAATATTTTGTTTTTATTAATTTTGTATGAATAATTTGTTATTTTTATTTGTATTGTAATAATTGTGTTAAATATATTTGGTGTAAAAAATAACGTTGTCAATGCAATGCCCAAAATACGTCATATGCTTCTGTTGGCACATGAAAACAAAAGCGTCAAATTTCGTCTGCAAGAAAATGCACTCTTGCAGTTTGCAATAAGTTCATTGTTTGGCATGCATTGTCAAGGTTATTTTAGTTAATTTATTTGTTGTAAAATAATTATCAATTTTAAATAAAAGGCACAATTGAATTTTTGACAATTCAATTGATGCGAAGCCACATTCGTTATCGATTCTTTTTGTTCGTTCTAATAGCTTGTAGATTTGGTTCAAGTGCTAAATTTACACCATATAAGCACCTGACTACTGGATTCAAGTGTTCAGTAATCAGGATAATTTAGGACAATCTTCAAATCACTGGGTTCAAGTGCTCAGTGGTTCTCGTGTTCAAATAAATCAACATAAGTACTGGATTTAAGAGTTCAGTACTTGCAAACAGTTGATTTCAACCTTTGATTCAGCGTGTGATCATACATTTTGGTGTGATCGTACATTTTGGTGACCCCGACGTGATAGTTGGGAACGTCGGTGTTGGAGTATCGTTTGGTGACCGTACATTTTGGTGACCCCGTGAAACGGACAGCAGCACAGGACTGGTTTGACGCAGCAACAGTCAACAATCAACAGTCAGCGGTTAAGTTTCAGCATTCAGCATTCGAAGAACATTCTTAAGCACATTTGGCAAAAACTTCAGAATAATGATGGCAACAATCAAAGCAGCAGACAACTTTGGTAAAGGTGTTAGTAACCAAATGGCATCACAGCCGCAACTAGTGGCTACGACAAATGGTTTGATAAGAAAAATATCCGCTCGAATGGCAGCTCTAAAAAGATTAGTAGAGAGTTTGTCAGAGAGCGAAGGCATACAACCACTTCAATATTACGAAATTAAATCAAACACAATCATGCAACATTGGAACCAATTGGAATGTTTGCATGATGAACTATGGGAAAACTTTGAAAATCCACTGATGTCAGGATTCAATCAAGATGAGTATTACCAAATTGAAGATTTGGTACAACAATGTTTGATAGAGTTGTCCATAAAATTGGATCAATTACAACAGAAACAAGCAACAGTAGCAGAACCAAACATGCGGTCCTCACTGCCATTGCCAAAGGTAACAATCCCAAGCTTTAATGGGAATTACTTAAAATGGAGGTAATTTTTTGACTTGTTTACACAAATGGTAGACAATCAGCCACTACCAGCTGCTCAAAAAATGTGGTACTTGAAATCACATGTGACAGGTGAAGCTGAAAAATTGATAAGTCATTTCAGCATATCGGAGGACAATTATTCGGCAGCTTGGACATTACTGCAAGACCGTTATAATAATAAAAGGGTCTTGGCGTCCACATTAATCGATGAACTTCTAAATCAGCTATCAGGCACATCAACTGTGGCAGCAATTAAAAATTTACATGACACAACGAAAGAGTGTCTATTAGCACTAAACTATCTTGGCGTTCAAACGACATTTTGGGACCTAATTTTGTTACAGGTACTAATTAAAAAACTCGATCGGGCGATGCTCATTAGATATGAGCAATCTCTGGCAAAACCAAAAGAGATACAAAACATTCAGGAGTTTTTAGCCTTTTTAGAACTACAGTTCCAACTGATGGAAGTTGTAGAACAAAAAGATAAGGTGGCTATAAAAATTAAAGCAAATCGAAATAACTCAGTGTCATCGGCTGTAACAGTTTCTAAAGGAAACAATAATTGCAAACTGTGCAATGTAGACAGGCACCCACTGTATCATTGCCGTAAATTTTGGCAATTTTCACCATCCCAACGATTGGATTGGGTGAAAAATCAACAGCTCTGTTTTAACTGTTTCAGAAATGATCATGTGGTGAACAAATGTTCATCAAGAAGTTCTACCAAATGTAATAAAAAGCATAACACGTTGCTACATTTGGAAGTTACAAAACAGAACATTCAACTTAGCTCAAGTGGGTACAACACCGCAGTTACCACAGCGACAGCAAACACATCCACAGGTCATCGTGATTATGTTCTCTTGCCAACTGCAAGAGTCAAAATAACTGCATCGAATGGAAATACAAGTGAAGTCCGAGCATTACTAGAGTCTGGTTCGCAAGTGAACATAATCTCTGAGCGTCTTGTCAAAAGGCTCAATATATCACAAACAAAATCGTTATTGAGCATAGAAGGTATAGGAAAGGTGCAAAAAAATTCAACGCAGCGAGTTAACATCAAATTGCAATCACTTAACTCAAGGTTTACTACAGAAGTCGAAGCGTTTGTGCTTCCAAATATAGTTCCACCTCAACCAAGTTGCAGCTACGATATTTCCAAATGGAAGGTCCCGAACACCATTCAGTTAGCAGATCCAACATTTTTCCAACAAGGGAAAATTGATATATTACTCGGTGCGGAGTTCTATTTTAGTCTGTTAAAGAAAGGTAAATTAACGCTTGCTCCTGGGCTTCCAGTCTTGCAAAATTCTACACTTGGCTGGATTGTCAGTGGCAAGGTTGCATCAAATACAGACACATCAAACGTTTTATGTGCAGTTTTTGGCGGTGGGGCGGAGGTTGTTGATAATAACTCATCGTTAGAAGATGCAATTGAGCGATTATGGCGAATGGATGAGGTGAATACAACAGAAAGGACATTATCCAAAGAAGAAAAATTATGCGAATCTCATTTTGTGCAGAACGTCCATACAAATAAAGAAGGACGTTTTGTGGTAAGGTTGCCGTTTCTGGAAAACTCATTGACGTTAGGGGAATCTCAAGAAACAGCTTGGAGAAGGTTCATCAGTCTTGAACGACGACTAGCAAAAAATGATGTTTTGCGGAAACAATATGTCCAGTTTATGGAAGAGTATGAGCGATTGGGTCACATGACTGAAGTAAACTTGGATTCCATGTTGACTCCAAGATATTTCATTCCTCATCATTGCGTACTAAAACCAGATAGTACAACTACTAAACTTCGAGTGGTGTTTGACGCATCAGCCAAAACTACATCTGGACACTCGTTGAATGATTTAATGTATAACGGACCGACAGTTCAAAGTGAACTCTTTTCAATTCTGCTCCGTTTTAGGCGACCACGGTTTGTTTTCACCACAGATATCGAGAAAATGTATCGTCAAGTTTTCATAAATCCTGAAGATCGACGCTATCAACTTATCATTTGGAGAAGCAGTCCAAATTCAACGATTCGTTATTATCAGCTAAACACAATTACATATGGGACTCGAGCAGCTCCTTACCTAGCAACAAGATGTCTGCAAAAGATAGCATCAGAAAACAAGGTGAATTATCCATTAGGAGCTCAAATCCTGTGTGACAATTTCTACGTTGACGATGGGCTCGGTGGATCAGATAGTTTAATTACGGCTATTGAAGCTCAAAGACAACTAATCCATATTTTGAAGAAGCATCATTTTTGTCTTCGGAAATGGAGCGCAAACCATCCTCAACTTTTGAAAAACATTTCTCAAGATGATCAAGAGGTAAATCTAGATTTCGATAATAACGAGTCAATCAAAACGCTGGGACTATTTTGGTTGCCCAAAGCAGATTTATTTGGAATTAAGGTCAAAATGGTTACTGAAGGAATAATCACGAAGAGAGTCGTTAGTTCTGATTTAGCTAGACTGTTCGACCCACTTGGTTTATTAGCACCAGTAATAGTCAAAGCAAAGATTTTCATACAACACTTATGGCAGTTGAAATTATCTTGGGATGAACCACTTCCTACAGATCTTTGTACAACATGGTCAACATTTAGAGAAAACTTAAGTACTCTTGAAAATCTTCAGGTGGCAAGACATATCTTCAGAGGCGAGGTTCCATCATCAACACAGCTACATATTTTTGCTGACGCATCTGAAAAGGCATTTGGTGCTGCAGCATATATCAGAGCAATTTTAAAAGATGGTAGAATAATAGTGCGACTATTATGTGCAAAGTCAGGAGTAACACCACTCAAAAAACAAACGCTACCGCGACTAGAACTATGTGCGGCAGTCTTAGCAGCGGAACTCTCAGCAAGAGTGAAAAGCGATCTTCAAGAGAAGGACCAGCCGGTATTTTTGTGGACTGATTCAGAAATTGTGTTGTCTTGGATCAACTCACAGTCCTCATCATTTCAAACATTTGTAGCTAACAGGGTAGCAAGAATTCAAACTTTAACTCTGTCTGAACAGTGGCGACATGTTAGGTCAAAGGACAACCCAGCTGATGTGTTATCAAGAGGACTTTCAGCAAGGGCGTTGTCAACATGTGCACTTTGGTTTCAAGGACCGTTCTTTTTGCATGGAAGGCAGGAAGTATGGCCACCAAGGTTTTCATCATCATTACAAGTTCCAGTCGATCTGGAGAAGAAGAAGGTTGTAGCTGTAGCAACTCAAAGCAATGACGCAGATTTCATATACAGGATTCAGCACAAAAATTCATTTAAGACGTTACAAAAGATAGTAGCATATGTTCTTAGATTCACTAACAACGCAAGAAAATCAAAGGAGTCACGTGCCACACATATAGTACTTAGTGCCAACGAATTGGATGCAGCATTAATAACTATAATATTTCACATTCAGGGTAATGATTTTCATGAAGAAATCAAACAACTGAAGAAACAAGGTCATGCTGATAAATTTAGTTCAATCAGTAGTTTATCTCCATTCATTGATAATGCAAATGTTCTTAGAGTAGGAGGACGCTTAGAAGCCTCATCATTACCATACGATTCTAAACACCCAATGCTGATCCCATACAATGATCCATTGGCAAAATTATTATTCGTGATGTTCCATGAAGAAAACAAGCACTGTGGCCCGCAAGCACTATTGAGTATAATCCGACAACGTTTTTGGCCGATTAAAGGTAAATCAACAGCCCGAGCAACGGTTCAGCGATGCATTCGATGCAACAAAGCACGTCCGCAATTATGCCAACAAATTATGGGCAATTTACCAGAATCAAGAATAACTCCTGCAAGACCTTTCATTAATGCTGGTGTAGATTATTGCGGACCATTTTGGATCCACTACAAGGTGAGAGGCAAAAAGCCAACAAAGGCATATATTGCTGTCTTTTGTTGCTTTTCTACAAAGGCGGTACATCTCGAGTTAGTGACCGATTTATCAACAAATGCTTTCATTGGAGCATTAAAACGATTTATAAGTCGACGAGGGCGTTGTTTGAATATTTACAGTGATAACGCAACAAACTTCGTAGGCGCCAAAAACCAGTTAGCAGAATTAGAAGAAAGCATTTATTCTAATGAAGGACAAGAAGCAATAATCTCTGCCTGCAGTACCACAGGAATAAATTTTCATTTTATTCCACCAAGGGCTCCACACTTTGGCGGTTTATGGGAAGCATCCGTAAAGTCCGCAAAATATTTGTTACTACGCAGCGTTTCAACAGCATCATTGACGTATGAAGAACTCGAAACAGTAGTGGTGGAAATTGAAGCGACATTAAATTCACGACCATTGACTCCAATGTCCAATGATCCAACTGATTTGACAGCATTAACTCCAGGACACTTATTAATTGGAGAAGCTCTTACAACTCATGTAGACAGCCGATCGAAACCAGAAAAACACACGTTATTGTCACGTTGGAACCTAGTTTCCCAGTTAAAACATAATTTCTGGAAACGCTGGTCTAACGAATATTTAATGGAACTGCAACAACGTAACAAATGGAAAACACAATCTGCCAACATACAGTTAGGAGACATGGTTATAATCAAAGAAGATAACGTCCCAGTGATGCAGTGGCCCTTGGGACGAATTGTACATGTGTACAAGGGTACAGATGGACATATCCGAGTAGCTGATGTTAAAACATCGGCAGGCATTTTTAAACGCCCAATTCATCGATTAGCTATACTGCCTGTAAACACAGATGACCAACCAACAATGGCTGAAGCTGATCACGAAGTACCTCCTGACAAGTTAATTATGAAAGATAGAAAAGAGTCGTATGAAGAGCCCAAGACAAAACGTAGAAAACTGCCGACCAATTTGTACTGTTCTGTATTACTTACATTATTACTGATATTGCCAATAGTAATAGGATCTCCAATTGACAATAAAAGGTTTGGCACAAAATTGGGTATTCACTTTGAAAATCTGGGCACAACTGCCATATCAACCACTGAATGGAATCTACTAGTTTATTATGATTTAAGTCTTTATTGGACGGAAGCAGCAGCTCTAAACACAGGAATAATGTCGCTACATCAAACTTGTCAACAAATGAAACCAAACGCATCATGTGCGAATACAGTTAATCACTTTAAACATATTGGATCCGAACTACAACTTGATGATAAATTACTTCATGATCATCGCTTCAAAAGAGGAGCAATTGACCTTGTAGGCAATATTGCGCATTCACTGTTTGGAGTATTAGATTCAGAATATGCCAAAGGAATGTCAAATATAATTACAGAAGTGAAACAAAATGAAATACAATTATTGACGCTATTTAAGAATCAGACATCAGTTGTCGATTCAACAATCAACATAATGAAGAAAGATAAAATAGCAGTTCAAGAAGGTTTTGACCACATTGACAATGAAA